AAAGTGAAGCCCTCACTGTGAGAAACAAAAGCAGGGAATAGCCTGGTGAGTCCGGGGTAAGGCAGAACATCTTCAGACCACTGAACTGCAACATAAAGCAAAAAGTAATGAGCTCTATAGAACAAAAATTTCGGAAAGTGACTACTGACAATGTTGACAGACGGCAGGACGGGATTACTATCTAGAATATGCAAAAAGCACGTGCAAACCAACACAGGAGAGAAACAAGACTACAGCTGGGTAAGAAACTAACAGCTAACAAAGATGCTCAACTTCACTAAGAAATGACACAAGCTCCCAGGAAAACAAGGAGATCCCACACTATAGCCACCAAATTCGGGTAAAATTAGAAAGAGGGCTAATACCAACCACTGTCGAGAATATAGGGGATCAGGAACCCCCATGCACCCACGAGGAGAACAATCTAGCAGCATTTAGTCAAAACAGGTGTACTCATTCCATTCCACCCAGCCATTCCACTCCGGGGCACGCGCCCTTGCGACTGTGGGTCTCAAACTGTCCCAAGTATCGCCATCTCCAGCCCAGGCACGTTACAACACAAGTTCATGGGGTCTGCCCCCAGGGTTTCTGATTCAGGTCTAGGCTGGGGCCTCAGAATCTGCATTTCCAGCAGGTGCCAGGCACTGCCCCTGCAGCTCCTGGGCGTGGACCACTTGGAGAAGCACTACGCTAGAGATGTCTCACACACATCTTGAAAAGAACGCATACAGGATGTTCATCACAGCGTTGCCTGAGTGAGGTGAGCTGAGTCCCTCACCAGGGAAACGGGTAACAAAGCTAAAGGATGCACAGCAAAGCCCTAGATAAGCCCACACTAACACAGATCTCACAAAGTCTTGAATGAAATTCTTCCTGCTTTTGTGAATGTCTGAAGATTTCCGTAATAAAAAGGCTGAGTGTTGAATGAAATAGAAGCCCGATGGAATCTATAGCACGGGACCACTTACGTAAACTGAAGACACACACAAAATAACATCTTTAACGAGGACACAGACATACCTAAGAATATATCCAACCCAGGAGAGGAGGCTCCTCTGCGGGGAGAGGAATGGGAGTAGAAATGAAGGGGAAACGTCGAACAAGAAAGGGGTTCTGCACAGGAGAGGGTCTTGCGCCAACAATGGAGGCGCGCTGACTCCCAGCACCTCGATGTCTAAAAAGTGAAAACCACCAGAGCAGCCCTAAGTGCCCACTCGCCTGCCTTTGCATACAGTGGAAGCCCCCAGCAATTTCCACAGTGGCTAGGGGACAGATCCCTTTAGCACTCAGAGAGGAAGAGGGGATCCTTCTGATGGACAAGCTTGGATGAATTCAGGCCCCCAGAACGCAACCTGCTCCTGAGCCCTGGAGTTTCCCTCTGCGACATATTAGCACAAAAAAACCCTGAGCTTTGGGCGCCTGGGTGGCTCAGTTGGTTAAGCGACTGCCTTCGGCTCAGGTCATGATCCTGGAGTCCCTGGATCGAGTCCCGCATCCGGCTCCCTGCTCGGCAGGGAGTCTGCTTCTCCCTCTGACCCTCCCCCCTGTCATGTGCTCTCTCTCATTCTCTCTCTCTCAAATAAATAAATAAAATCTTAAAAAAAAAAAAAAAAAAGCTGAGCTTCTAGGCGCTCAGCAAGGGGCGTGTGTGTCCACACCTGTCTTTTCTCAGTGTGCGTGTCTGTCTGTATTTGTGTGTGTGTCTGTGGGGGGAGCAGAGAGCGGTTTATTTGGGGAGGTAAGAAAGCCTCCGGAGGGTACAGACTCAGCCATGCTTGTGGCCAGCAGTCAAGTCTGTTTCAGTGAAACCAGAAGTCAGTTACAAAACCAAGCCCTCCTCCTGGCCCACAAGACTTCGCTTCCCCTTTCTTCACCCTCCCCTCCCCCAAATCCCACTCTGCTTCCCAGCTCCCATATCCAGAGGGGCGGATCATCTGGTGACAGAGGAGCTTATCAAGTGACAAACTTTACAGCCACAATTCTCAGAATGTGGTTGGAGACAATAATCTACCACTTATATTCCTGACCAAGAGCCTGTAACAGAAAGGCCAGAGCCTTTAACACCAGGCACGCTGTAACAGTTCTTCCAAAAGAGACTGCTTATAGCTACCATCCAAAAAAAGGGGGGAGCAAAGAAAAAGCCATCTATAATCTGTCATGTCCCCTCAGGGACACACCGGACACAGCTTTTTCCAAGGACCATAGAACAGTTCACCCCACAAAGTGGCTTCCATAGTGCAGAGGACAATCAGAAAATAAAAACCACCGCTGATTGAATTTATGTGAGAAAATGCAAAAGACCCTTTGGGCAGCAGCTTTAAGCAAGCCAAGCCCATGCCAGGAAAGTATGTCTTTAGGGAAAGAAGAAGCAGATGAACAACTGCAGGAAGGAGCAGAACAAAGTTTAAAAAAGATGCATAAGCATGAGCTGGCCCAACACTCACACCTCCCCCAAGGACGAGGGAGCTGATGCCCCTGTGCAAACAAAGCCGAATTCTTATTCCCCAAACAGTTTTGTCTTTTCCACGGCAGCACTTTTCACTGGACGGTAAAGGTTTAGGAATTCTAAAGAGTCTTCCTGAAATGCTTTGTACAAAATAAAGTTTCACAGATAAAGCATATTTGATGTGCAGGAGTATGTTTTAGTTTTTTAAAAACTGTACGATAGCTCTATGTAGGACGAGTCCTTTAGGTTTTTATGAGATATGTGAGCGAAGCATGCGGTTTTTTCCAGCTGAATACAGGATCTGCCACAATATGAAAATTAAGGGACTTAACCAGGAAAAAAAAGGAAAAGGATTGAGTTTTCAAGCGAAAATTGAATGTCTGTGGTCAACACAGGCAATGCCAACTTAGGAAAATAAAGTTCTTTAAGCGCCAAACTTAATGACGAGATTCTGTTTGTTTTTTAATTCAGCTGAGTAAGCATTTACTGAGCACCTACAAGGTAGGCACTGTGCAAGATGCTTGGGATCCTCCAAGGAATAAGACACTGTCTTAATAACTGGGTCTCTTTCATGTTAGTTTAATCCATCCCTTGAATTAATTTCTTTATTAAAAAAAAAAATGCTAGCCCCGAAGAGTTACAGAAATTCTTACTATTCTATTAAAAATGTAAATTTCTCGTCTCTGAAGCAGAACAGAAGGAAAAGACGCTTTCTCCGCTTTCCATATTGGCATCATTTGCTGCCAAGGAACCAGCTACATTTTCAGCTGTGCACGGTGGCAGGCACCACCTCCTCCTACCCAGCAGGTCACGGAGCTGCCGAGACTCAAAGACGTGCCACCTGGCTGAAGAGAAGCAGTGAAGAAAACCAAAAGCTCAGGGCCTCCAGACCCAAACAAACTGCGAGATAAGGCAAGTGAGCGGCTACAGGCAGACGCCAGCCCCTGGAGGTTCCCTCAAAGCTGGAGCCTCGGAAACACAAGCCCCTGCTGGCCGGCTCCCTGGCCCGGACTAGGCATGGATGGCTTCAGAGCTGGAAGGCTGCCACCTGCTGAATCACCAAACATCCCCGGGCTTCCCTTGGAGCACTGGCCAGGCAGGGACCCATCCTCCGAAGAGAGCCTGCACCCCGGAGAGCCTGCACCCCAACCAAGACACGCCCAGCCCCGTCCCCTTCTGCACAGGCCCAAACCGCTGCCAACACCCCCCCCCGTGTTGGGGCGGCCCCTGGCAACCCCCCCGAGTTGCTACGTCACCAGTCCCACTCCTCTCTTTCTGCCCACTCAGTCCTCCCTGCATGTTCAAGCCTCGGGACCGGGACGCGTGGGGGGCTCCCGGCGCACCGTGACAGGCGCTTACCACTCCACAGCCAGGCAGCCAACCAGAAAGGCCCCCGAGTCTGAGAGCAGAGTCACCTGTCCAAAGAGCTCGAAAGGTCCAGGAAGGTAAATGTCAAGGGAGCTAAAACAGTAGGCAGACCCCTCACGCGGAAAATAAACTTCCCTTTCACAAAGCAGCCTTCGCTCTGGGTTTCATAAGCGTGTGCCGCTGAAGTCTGTGGTGTCTGAAGGTGAAAAGAAACATCTGAGCAGCACCTGCAGGGAGCCCTTCCACTCCCTCCGGCCAAGATTTCTACTCGCGACTCCCAGGAGGGAAGCAGGCGTTGCCCAGAACGCGCCAGCCCGAATCCGTTGGCTGGATCAGGACGTCCTCGCCGGCCCACCGGCAGCCGCAAGCCCCAGTCGGGGTTGACACGGTGGGAGAGACGGCCGCTGCTGCCGCCGCCGCTCTACCCTTGACAAGTCGCCTCGGGGTCGCAGGACCCCTCACTCGCGGGGACAGCCGTGTCCTGGAGACACTGTCCAGTCCCGGCTGCGCCGATGGCTCCTCCAGGCCTTGCCCACTCCCTGTCCTCTGGCGGGGGCCGCCCCTGAACCTGCAGGATGTTCTCCGGCCTGGGGAGGGCAGCTTGCTCCGCGGGGGGAGAGGGGGTCCCACCTGTTATACTGGCTGGGGCGGGCGCCGAGAGGCCGCGGAGAGGGTGGGGGTGGGGGGAATCCCGAAGCCCTGGGCGCCTGGCCCGCTGCGATCTGGCCCGGAGGTGCCAACTGTCACGCCGCCGCCGGGGCCGTGGGGGTGGGGCCGTGATTTGGGGCCGGCCCCCGCGAGTCTCCAGACCCCGGCCCGGGCCACCCGCCGAGGCGCCTCGCCCCCCGGCTCTCCTTCCCCGCCACCCTCCGCTCGCCCCAATCCTGCACTAGGCAACCTTCCAACCCGCACGCAGCACCTCCGAGAGGCGCCCGCAGACGCCCCCGCCTTCCTCGCCGCCCAGACCCGGTTCCAGAGCCCCGGGGGCGGCCCGCCCCTCCGAACCCCGCGCCCACCCCCGGGAGCGGGGGCGCGGGGGGGAGTGCCCGCCAGGTACGCGCGCGGCTCCGAGCGGGCTGAGCTCACGCCCCCTCGCCCCGGGGCCGCCCGCACGCCGCTCCTCGCGGCCGTAGGCCCCCCCAGGGCTCGACGCCCTCCACTCCCACCCCCCGGCCCCACGGCTCACTTGCACCGGAGTCGCGGCCGCCGCCGGAATTCCGCTCGCCGAGCCCCCCGCCGCGCACCGAAATCCGGGGCAGGGCAGCGTCGGGGCTCCGCAGCGGGATCGCGCTCTCCCGCTGGCTCGCAGTGCGCGGAGGGACGGCTGCCTCTCCTGGCCCGCCCTGTCCGCTCCGTCCTGCCCGCGGCCGCCGCCTCGCTGGTGCGAACGCTTCCGACTTGCCACCGCGAGCCTCCGGGCTGCCGAGCATGCCCAGTCCGCTGCCCGCGCCGGCCCGGCTCTCCGCGCGCCGCGAGTCCGCTCCTCCGGGTGTTCGCGGCGGCCGGCAGGGGAGGGCGGGCCGGGCGGGCCAGGCGGGCGGGGTCGGCGGGGCCCGACGGGACCCGGGCCACAGGCTGCGCCCCGAGGGGCAGCGTGGCTTGGCCCCTTACTTTACTTTCCAGGAATACGGAGCTCGGGAGAAGGGCCCAGCTGCGAATCTGGGGGGTCGCTCCCTGAGGCCGGAACCAAGCCGAGGTTTACGGTCGGGCGGCGTGCCGCTGGGGGCGGAGCCGGAGCTGCTCGGAACCGGGAACGTGAACTCGGCCTCCTGGAGGGGGTCTCGGGGGAACGAGTTTGCGACCCTGAGCGCTGCGACACTGGGGTTAACTCCTGGCTGATCCCAAGAAAGGGCGGCTGCGACTCTCTCTGTGCACACTCCCACCCCCGAACAATCAGGCCTCCTGCTAGGTGCCCCGCCGAGCCGGAGCCCGGAGCCCGGCGGGGAGTGGAGAGACCCAGGCCGCCCCGCCCGGGCCCCACCTCCCGCCGCCGCTCCGAGTGGCCGGGAAAACCCGGAAACCGGCCGTCCTGGGACGGGAGCACCGCGCATGCCCAGTAGCCCGACCTGGTGCAGGTCGCCCCCAGGAAGGTTTCCCCCGCTCCGAGCGCCCGACCCCCGCGCCCGGGTTAGGGGCGGGCAGCGGGGAGAGGTGGCCTTCGGCGCACCGCCCCCCCGGCGCTGTCCCCGGCCGGGCCCCGCGGCATCCCAGTAGCGGCCAGGCGCCCGGGGCTGCGCCTGCCGCGGAGTCGCGCACTGGGCCAGCGCGGGAGGGGGCGCGCGGCGGCAGCGCCCGGGCACGTGACTGTCCGCGGCGCTCGGGGCAGCCATCTTCCGCCCGGCCGGCGGGCCCGGGGCGGGAGCCGAGCGCAGTCCTCCCCGCCACGCTCTCCGCGTCAGGGCTCGGCACCTGCCTCCGCCCCGCAGCGTGGCGCGGAGCCGCTGCACGGCCGCGAAACGCTGCGGGCAGGACTGCGGGGGCGCACTGCCTTTGCCTTCCCGAGAGGCGGAAGTCGGGGCAGGGGTCCGCGCCCGCGCGGCGGCAACCCTGCTTCCCCGGCGGCCCCGCGGAGCTCCCCCGTGGCCTGCGGAGGGGCGGGCGGCGCTGGCGGCAGCGTCTACGGTGAGGCCCGTCTCTTCCCCGCGGCTGCTAGGCGGCCCGGATGGCGAGCCTCATAGCGAGCGGGCGCGCGGGGCTCCTGGGGGCCGCGGGCAACCGTCCCCTCGTCACCCCCGGAGACTCAGCAGTGCGAGATTCCGGGCCTGCCGAACCAAGTCTGCGGCTGGGGCCCTCCGGTGCTTCTGGCGGGCCTTTCACTGCTTTTGCTTGGCCCGGCCGGAGGCGCCCCGCTTTACAACAGGCAGGAGAATTGCCCCCTGGAAGCCGGCGGGCGGTCGGGGATGCGCACCGAGGCCGCGTGCCCCGGTGCGCCCCTCCGCCGCTGCCCGGCTCTTCCCTGGGAGGCTGCAAAAGTGCAGTTGTCACGCGCGGCTTCAAAGTAACAGCTGAAAGTCCGTTAAACTCAGCCTTTGAGTGTCTGCTGAGGGCAACTCTGAGTCATAGTAGCCCTACTGGGTATTTTCGTCAGTTTGCACCTAAGGTGGAAAAAAGGCCTTGCTTGCTTGTGATGTCAATTTTTTCAGACTAAACGAATGCTGGAAAACTGGCTGGTTGCTCAGAAGTGCTATTTATGCAGTGTCCCTTAAGCTTGGGACTTCCAGAAAACAAAACAAAAAAACCCCAAAACGTTCAAGTAAGCATCTGGTGTAGACGGTGTCAAGGAGTCTTTAAAATGTACCCCCACCCCACCCCCAAAAAAACGTAAAGGCAAACTTAAGTTTTGCAAAATATTAACAGTGCTTGATTGTAAGTGGTTTTTCTAGAGTGCTCCTTGTAATTTTTCCTTAATGTTCTGTATGTTTGAAATTTTTCATAATAAAAATCTTCCTAAATTATTTCCATGAGTAATTTTAAGACTATGTAAGATATGGAAAAAAGCAAGATACGAAACTATTTCCACTTTATTCCGTTTTCATGAAATAATTCAGAGACAAAGTTATAATTTAAAAATCTAAGAAGAAATTGCAAGTAAATTCTGGGTGAAGCAACTAGAAGAGACTTGAGTTTGCACTCCCTGAAATCAAATTTAATTAATGGTCCTTAAGTGACTACTATTTGTGACCAAAAAAGAAAAAAGGTTTTGTAAAATAGCTCTTTTCTTTAGTCCACCAACCCTAAAGAATTTTATCAGTGCGTTTTTATCAGAATTTTAATAAGCAATACATTGTAAAATTTTAGGATTCTCAAGAACATAAAATGTCATAAATTAGATTGTTGTCAAGACAACTATGAAATAAAAATGAATCGCTTCCAAGTCACAATCTGTCATTAAAATATGTTTAAAATAATACTAAGAGCAAATACTGGGGAAAACAGTTCATTTGCCAGAACAACTATTCTGAGGTGGGTGGTTTAGTTCCAGATGAATGATTCTTCTACCTTTGGAAGGTAAACTAGTTGATTAAGAATGTGGGGGTTCTGGGCACCTGGGTGGCTCAGTCGGTTAAGCGTCTGCCTTCAGCTCAGGTCATGATCCCGGAGTCCCAGGATCGAGTCCTGAGTCTGGTTCCCTGCTCAGCGGGGAGACTGCTTCTCCCTCTGACCCTCTCCCCTCTTATGCTCTCTCTCATGCTCTCTCTCAAATAAATAAAATCTTTACCAAAAAAAAAAAGAATGTGATGGTTCTGTACAGCTGAACCCTTACCGAGCAGCCGTGACTCACCAAACTGTAGTCAAAAGTCTGCAAAGCGCTCCAGAAGCAAGGAGGCTTCTGTGTGTCCATGGCAATTTGTCCCAGTGGGAAGACTCTGGAGCCACAAAGCCTGAGGAGCAGCAACAAGACCTCAAGGGCCCCCTCAGTCCTTGAAACTCATCTGGCCAGCCCACAATTTAGTTTCCAAACCAAGGCTGACCAGAAAAGCCAGCTGCAGACGACAAAGCTGGATCCAAGGTTTTAACCCCGGGGCTTGGATCTGGGAAGCCTCAACCCTCTGTGCTCATTCCTTTGCCCACGGCTAGGATTCCTGGACTCAGTAAAGGCTTAGGTCCTGCTACTGGTCAACAAAAAACTGGAAATTTATTTGAAGACTCTGGGGTAAATCAGGGGTGCATCTGAGGCTCAGGCAGAGATGGAACCAGGGGTTAGGGTATTAACAGGAACTTGGGAAGTTGGCCTCTGTCTTCTGAGCACTTGTTTACTCTGTCCCCTTACCCTGTGGCTTTTTTGCCTTCTGTCCACGTATCAGGAAATGACTGCTTGAGAGCCACTAAGTTTCTCTTCCAGAGAGTAGCAAGAATGACCCCACCTCTATTCACTAACCCTCTTATCTCATGGAATCCTCTTTCTCCAGATTCCTACTGTCCACTTGAACCAGTCCTACTACTATTTCAATGCTCCTCTTCAATTCCACATTTTTCATAAAAACCTCTCTGCCTTCCAGGACACTGCAGCCTCCTATACACACATTTTGGCACGCATATACGTTATATTATGACTTTTACAATTCTCTGCATGTTTCATACTGGTAAGTCTTGAGTCTCCAACTTACATATGAAATGACATAACAAGGATATATATATTTCATCTTCCATGGTATCTAGCACAGGATTTGACACCAGGGAGCCCACAGTAAATATTTATTGAACTGTAATTTATACTTTTCCCCTTTTTACTTTTCTGTTGCTGCATTTTTGTTTAAAAGGGGTAAACTACTAGAAATGGAAATGTCCTTGCTGTGTCATCCTCCTCTGATTAGCAACCACACTTCACAATCTGCTGTGTACATTTAAAAAGGATTTTGAGGGGCACCTGGGTGGTACAGTCGGTGAAGCGTCCCACTCTTGATTTCGGCTCAGGTCATGATCTCAGGGTTCTGAGATGGAGCCCCAAGTCAGGCTCTGTGCTCAGCGGGGAGTCTGCTTGAGATTCTCCCTCTTTTTTGCCTCTGCCCCTCCCTCCACCTCTCTCTCTCTCTCAAAATAAATAAATCTTTTTTAAAAAAGGATTTTGAAATCAGACATTCCCGACTGGATGCTCATCCGGGTCTTATGAGCCAATGCCATCCGCAGAATGATGAGGCACCAGCCGACAGGCCCAGCACCATCGTCAAGAGCTGCACTGTAGTCCTAGCTCTTCACATAGTCAGTGTGTGACTCGGGCTTAATTATCACCTCTTAAAGTGGGGAGAATATGATCCACCTCCTCTTGGCTTCCCATGAGTACCATGGGAATTAATTAGGTCTTTAATAAGAATGTATGTCTATTAAATGCTTTATAGTTATTTAGAGGTAAACATAATGAAAACACGAGGTATCGTCAAGATACCGCAAATGTTCATTGTTGTTGGATTTGGCAATCTGCTTCCTTCTGAAAGCAAGGATTATAGTACCAGCTATCACACAAAATAATGAATACCTGTTTGGTCAGCGTCTCCTCCAAGCAAGTCCTGGATGGCCAGAGCTATGTGGAGGGTCAAGACAAAATTAAGTCTTCCAGACTGAACAAGGGGAGAGTGACAGAGTTCAATCACCTGAATTTCACAGGTCCTGTCTGAACTCTTCAAAGGAATCAAATCTAGGCCATGCTAGGGAGAACGCAAGTGAGGACCGACACTTTTTCTGGAACCTCTACAGCGCTTCCCTTGTTTTGTGAGATCTCAAAGGAGCATATCAAAATCCTTCTACCCATGCCTTTAAGGACAGCGTGTAGGAGGCATTCTCTCTGCCAAACTGACACCCAGGAGAAGTAAAACGCTATGGCGCTCCAGGACACTGCTGGAGTAATCTGACACAGAGTGGCTGAATCCTGCACAGTCAGATCTAGACCAGAGTTTCTCAACCTCAGCTCTGTGGATGTTTGGGGCCAGAAAATTCTTTATCACAGGGGGTTGTCTGGTGCAGTGG